TATGCAGTTTATAAAACAAATTGGAAAAAGATGATAAATTAGACAAAAACACTTAATTTAATCTGACTCGTGTGCACATGTCAGGACTGACACTGTGTTTCTCTTCAGTGTGTTGATCTGAGCTGCAATGAGTTGACTGAGGTGACTCTGCCAGAGATCCTTCCTTCAAAACTCCAGGAGCTCGACCTCACAGGAAATCCTCGACTCAGCCTCGACCACAAGAGCCTGGAACACCTGAAGTATGACTCACTCGCATAAACACACCACCACCTGAGCTTGGGAATAAAAGAGCAACTGCCTGACCTTTCCTGTTCTCCCTCTCTCTGTAGTAATATCCGATGTCTGAGGGTGGATCCTTCACCTTCAGCTCCTTGTGTGAGTGAGAGCCAAGGAGTCCCTGCAGTCTGGAGTCATGGCTACACGGAGGCCTCTGGAGTGAAAAACAAGTCAGTCTTTCTTTGATGCTTCAGCCTTTTTTGTTTTGTTTTTTATGCCCCATCTCTGGCTTTGTGTCATTGTTCTTGTTCTAAACTGCCTCCTTCTTGCTGTTCTCAGGTTGTGTGTGGCTGCTCTGGCTCTGGACAGCTTCTGCGGCATTCATGAAGCTCTGTATGGAGTTTTTGATGGAGACAGGAATGTCGAGGTGCCTTATCTGCTGCAGTGCACCATGGGAGATGTGCTCGCAGAGGAACTTCAGAGGGGCCAGAGGCAAGAGGACTACATCATCAACACTTTCCTCACCATGCAAAGGTAAACACTGACCTCCAAACGATGTGTGATTTGGAAGGAAAACAGCCTCACCTCACTCAGGATGTTGTGTGCCCATCTCCTGCAGGAAACTGGGCACAGCAGGCCAGAGGATGGGCGGGTCAGCAGCTCTGTGTCACATCAGACATGACCCGGTAGCGTCCAGTGAGCATGGTGGCTGCTTCACTCTGAAAACTGCCAACGTTGGCAGGTGCCAGGCTGTTTTGTGCCGAGATGGCAAAGCTATGCAACTTTCACACATCCACACTGTCAAAGACGAGGCCGAGTACCAGAGGGTTCGGCAGCATAACGCTATTATCACTGAGGTAACGACACGTTTCATATGCTGCACAAAGTGCTGAAACAAGTCCATTTATCGACACCTGTGATTCTCACTTCCAGCTCCATATTTGTATTTTTGGACTCTAATAGAGTTGTTTTGCATGTTTGAAACTTTAGCCATGGTTAATATGAACAGCCAGAATTTGCATGCTTATAGTATATAAATGGATAATAGAAAATAAGAAAAAAAGCAGATTTTGGCCATTTAATGGAGCTAAATATTGTCTGGCTTAAGCTGTTCTCTGTCTTAAACCACACCAGTTTTTGGACTACTGATGGGGCGAATCTATTCACAGACTGTTTTGTAATGTTTTTTAAAATAACTGACAGTAAACTGTATTCAATTCATTTAGTTTGGTGAGACCAACAATATAGAGCACACAAATACTGAATCTAAACAGACAAAAAGAAAAATTAACTTTGGAACAAGAGAATATTGGTTTTGTTTTACAGCTTGTTACTGAAACAGTCAGCAGTCCGTTTTCAACCCTACAAAACCATAAATAAATGTCATTATTGTCGAGTTTTTTCCGGGGGGGAAATACAAATGCTTCTGTTTGTCCTTTTCCTCCCTGCAGGATAACAAAGTGAGCGGCGTAACAGACTCCACCAGGATTATGGGTTACTCCTTCCTCTGCCCATCAGTGACACCTCACCCCCATGTTTCCACGGTGGCGCTTACCCCGCAGGACGAGTTTTTTCTCCTGGGCAGCCGGAGACTGTGGGACATGTTGTCGCCCAGTGAGGCGGTGGAGGCGGTAAGGAACTTACCAGATGCTCTGGCTGCTGCAAAGAAGCTGGTGACTCTGGCTCAGAGCTACGGCTGCTCTGATAGCCTCAGTGCCGTCGTTGTGAAGCTCAGCATCACTGAAGAATGCTGCTGCTTCTGCGAGCCGCCACCGCCACCACCCAGCCCTGGCCCGGCAACTCAGCCCGGTTTACATCCTTATTCGGGAAGCAGTGATGGAAGCATTCCGCTGCCACAGCCGCCGCCCACCTCCTCAGCAACAGTGAGCGAGTTGAGCAGCGAGTTCAGCACATCTGAGATGAGCAGCGAGGTGGGATCAACGGCGTCCTCGGAGGAACCGCTGCCGCAGGCTGAACCCCCAACCTCTCACCCGAACCTCCCGGGGCGAGCTGGCACGCACAGGCCCGCCTGTAGGGGGAGCAGCTTCCACAGGCAGTTCTCTGGAGCACTGTCTGATAATGGGCTTGACAGCGAGGACGAGGAGCCCATCGCTGGTGTCTTCTCCAACGGTAGCCGTGTGGAGGTGGAAGCTGACGTCCACTGTCTCTTACGACACAACTGTGCTCAGTCTCAGCAAAGCACAGACAGCCCTCCCCCTGTCACGCTGCAGAGTGAGTCTTTGCCTCTGGCCTTCCCTTCCCCATCTGCCTCCCCCGTCCCGCCCTCCTCTCCCTACCTTGGTGGGGAGGCTCGGTCAGGAACTCTGGGCCGGAAGGCTCGAGGTAATGGCTCTGTGGCCTGTCAAGGCAGGAACCAGGACCTCATTGAGGAGGCTGCCGATGCTCCTGTCAAGAAGCAGGGGGGCTACTTCAACGCCCCTGCCCAGCCAGACCCCGATGATCAGCTCATCATTCCCCCGGAGCTGGAAGAAGAAGTCCGGCAGATCATCCAGCAACAGCAACAGCAGCTACAGACACACAGCCAGCAAGCACACAACTACCAGAATCCTGCAGACTACTTCCTCACACCCCTCTGACAGCTGCTCTCCACAACTGGAGTCAGTCTGTTTCACACAAGACCACAGAGTCTGTGAACGAGCTCAGCATTAAGTTCACTCCAAGACCTCAGAATACTCTGACCCGGCTTTGACACTGTTTCCTTACAGCTTTTGTTTTGTTTACTTCACCTTGAAACCAATGAAACTTTTCTAACACTCGTGTTGATGAAATGTTCACCTGTAAATTCATTTGTTCCACATCTTTGATTTGAAGCACTTTGCTTTGTGTTAGCCTCATTGATTTTATGTTCACTGGTACTTAGAGTCGGACCTGTCTGTTTTTTGTCTTAGAGCAGACTGTTTCTCTCCTTGCTCGCCATGGCTGATGGCCTTACAGTTACTGGGGTTAGCAAAACGGTTGGACTAACTCCCTTAGGAGTTGAATACTTTTAAGTGACCTCGTCACTGAAGCGTGCTAATGTTCTCTGAGAGAAAAAATGATTATTTGTGAAGGCTGATATTCCAGATGTTTGTTTTTCGGGGTGTGCAGAGTCTAGTGGTGCTGCAGTGGCTACATGCTGATCAGTGGTTGACAGCTTAATGAATGTTCTCCAAACAGTGTTACAGTTTTCAGCAAACCGCACAAGAGAGCTACTTTTGCTATATAATAAAGTTTTCAGATAACCAAAACATGTCGGACTTGGGTTTATCTGTTAAAATTTTGCTCATTCAGAACCGTCCACACAGTATCACTTTTATGTTTTTATGTAATAAGATTAAAACACATCTGCTTCTCGAACTTCCGGTTGTCACCTGCATACAGTCCACACATGCTCACTCATTTCTTTTAATTAATTTAACGTGTGTATGTGTATAGCTGCACTGAGAAGGTGAAATGATTGTATTTCCAGAATTCAACTTGTAGTGCATTTCTTCTACAAGCCACAAATGTATCAGTGCAAATGCAAATTCCTTGCTGACTAAAGGCATTTCCAGTGGAAATTGGCTGACATATCCTGAGCATAACGATGTATAATATCCACAAAACTTAAAGTCACAATACGGTAATATTATGTTGAAGCACAGTACATATTACTCCGCCGAGGCTCCTGTCTACGGTAGCTGTAATGTAGTGATGTGCGATACCACCGATTTCCTTTCCGATCCCTAACCCTTCTTTTCCGATAACGACGGCCCGCTTGCATGTTCTACCGAAAATTGTGCTTTGGTGAGTATCTGACGGACGAAAGCCAAACCAGTTCCACACCACTGAAGTTGCAGCATTTTTACAAACAAATTCTGGTTCATCCGTTTCATTCAACGATCTGCTTCCGCCCTTCTCATTCTCCGTCGCCACCACGCTTTTTCCGCCATGTGCGTATGAAAACAAAGGCACTGCGCATGCGCGTTTTACCCATATTCTATCGCGATATTTCATTTTATCATTGCCTAACATTATACCGGTATTACCGTGAACGGTATTATATGGCCCAGCCCTACTTGCAATGCTTTTATATTCATTTTCTTACATTTACACACCGATGCATTGGGGTCACTCAGGATTCAGTATCTTGCCCAAGGATACATGGTCACCGTGTATTTGAAGAAGATTAAGTCAATAATTGTCTAGAGGTGAAATGACTTTTACTGTTGTCTACCACATTTTTCCTTCATTTCTAAAGATGTTAAATGCTCCTCACGATTTTTTTATTAGATATATAATTTAGATATTTAATTGTTAATAGCTTTATGTATTTTTTTTCCATCACGTCCCTTTGCTGACAACACAGGAAATTGGAGCAGGAGAACATTTGCTTGTCCATCAGTTTCCTGTCAGCTAATTATTTCAGTCTGATATTTAAAATAAGAGTTATCTGCAACCTTATTATTATTATTATCTTAAAACAGGTATGTTGGCAGAGCTGAGCATTTTTACAACCAGAATATCCAAACTTAAAAGAGCATAACCAAAAGAAGAAATTTGTTAGTGCTGCTGTGATGATAAGGCTGTCTAAAATGGTAAATTTAGAAGTCAGGTCATTTTATCACTCTGGGGAATTTTGACAAGTTTGTGTTGTCAGCGCAGTTACATCACTGCTGTCCTTTTGTATGTGTGCGCTCCACTGTGTGACAGCAGTGATGTCATGGCTGGCACAGAACAGGGGAACACAAACAGCAGGACAGGCGCTCAGACTTCTGTTGCCCCCTAATGACAGTCGATCCAGCTTTTAAATGGAATCATAGTCTGTTTAATTACAGTAGATAAAATGCTGCAAACTGGTAGAAAAAAAAACATTAAGCAGTGTACATGTTACTATTAGAAAACTATCTCCAACAGTAAAACAGGCCATTTGAAGATTTACTCAGCGATTTAACTTACACAAGCCGGTCATGTTCAGCATTACCTGAGATAACTGACACATTTGAGAACAAAGTTACATTTGGATAGAAGATTTTTTTTTATTTTTTTTTTTAAAGACACATACAAAAACTTCTACATAAAAATTGACAAAAATGAGAGAGAATGTGCATAAAAAGCCAACATAATACATTTCATTTTCTGAGCTAACTAACAATATGTGGGGCTGATGAATGATGGCTGAGTCTTCACTTTATTTTCTAGTTCTCTCCATAAGTGGAAAAGCTTTAATATTCATCCATGTATTACAGTGCCTGAGGGAACGACATTAAATTCACTAAGTACTAGGCAGGTTTAGTTGTCATACATTAGTTTTAGTGTTCAACTGTACTGTTTTAATCCCAAATGTATTCTAGCTATGCAAGATTTTTCTTTTTTTTTTTTTTATCCAACTAAGCCACAGCAGCACATTAGTGCTACCTCACTGTACTGTTTATGTCCCCTGATACACAGTCACTTTTGGGCAGTAACACAGAAGTAGTTTAAACTACAAAGTAGCTGTGTCCATGTGGAGACGATGAAGAGTTGTAAGTTTAAATGTTTCCTGTGATCCGTCTGTCAGTCTTACACATTTGGAGCCAATCCTCTTTGAATCAGTTCAGATGTCATTGTAGCAGAAACTAAAGTGTCCCCTTAACCACAGTACACAAGTCTCCCTCACACAGATGTGGTCTCGGCCCACAGCGGAGCCCTCTGTGGGTTGTTCCGATCCTGCTTTTTCTCCTCTTCCCGCCGCTTTTGTTCCTGTAGGTAACGCTTCACGTGCTGAATGGTCTGGAAAGTGAGCACTGTGCCAGCAATGTACAGAATGGCGGTGATGAGTCCGAACAGAGCCACAGCTGCATCGGCCCCACTCACGTTACAGTTCATCCAGGTGTAGCCGTTCCGCGAATACAGAATCTCCCGCTGCTTGCACACATCTGTGGAGTTGACTTTGATCATGAAGTGCAGGTAGAGGCCGACAGCCACCACATACACCACTGCGCCCACCGCCTGAAAGACCAGCGCTCCAAACAGGAGCTTTCGCGACATCCGGTGGGGGGGTTTGTTCCCAGACACCACAAACAGCAGTGAGACTATTCCAAAGGTGAGGCTGAAGGGGATGCCGCCATAGATGCTTGGTGCCCTCATTTGGTTATACTGCATGTCTAGTTCTCGTAGCTTCTGCAGCTCAGTACCCTCAAAGTTGATGTTGGAGTTGAGGTTGAAGCCGCCCATGCTGGCTGCCGAGGACATTCCCGACGTAACCATCTGAGCTGCGACCACACAGATGAGGACCAGGGCGTTGGTCAGCACAGCGCAGATCAGGATGATACCTTTGTCAGCACACAGAACAGGCATTTGAGTTCATTTTACAGAAAAATCAATCTTTCAAATCATTAAAAAAAACAAACAAACAAAGAAAAAAACAGCACCAGCGTTTTGTGGTGAGGCGTCCTGATTTTTTATTTTTTTTGCCTCATATGATCATTAATTAAATATCTCAGTTTGGAAGTGGTGCACAGACACATACAGTTTAGGGCTACATTTGATTCAGCTCTTGGCACTGAAACCAATTTAGATTAAATTTTAAAAATACTCAAAATAACCCAACAACAAAAATAACAAACAAGTCTGTCCCTACAGTCACCAAATGTGTTTACGTAATAAGAAATGTCATGAATAGTTGCTACAAACCATCCTAGAGGTTTGTGCTTGGGTGAAATCTTATAATTTAATTATTCAATTACTTAGCACCAGTCAGCAGGTATCTGTGCTGTTGTCTGTTTGTGAATCAAGCCTACCAGCAAAAACTCATAACATTAACACTGCCATCACTGTGTCTATGGTCACTTATTCCTCAAAAAGAAAAACAACAACAACGAGGGTCAGGGTGAGAGGCTCAGTATAAAACCAATATGTGATGTCCATCTTTTATATATAGGATTTCTCAACTACCGCTACTCCCTCACTTTGAGCTTTAAGTATTTCAAAATGTTGCACTGAAGCTTTTTACTCTACGTGTTAGAATTGATTTATAGATGTTAATGCTCACTTTTAAAATATGTGTGTAGCTCCAAGCTATAGAGCAGTTTGAGCCAGTTGGCAGTCTTACATTCTCAGGTTCTAAGGGCTGAGGCTTAAATTGAAGAGTCATCATACTTGCTTTTATTCTTCTTCTTACTTGTACTTCTAGTTATTGACATTTGAACTTTTTAGCTTCCTAACTGATTTTTTCTCCCGAGTACTGAAATTTTTGATCTAAAATCAATAAACTGTTATGCATCATATGGGCTTCAGAGAACTATAATGGTGGCACTTAGGTCTCAAGTCAAATAAAGTCTAACTTCAGCTGTACATTTGAGGTCTTTATTAGTGTTCTCACAGGAGAAAACTAATCTGTGAGGCTCTGATTTCAAGTTCCCAGCTTCCCAGAATAGTGTTCCTCTGCCTAACCTCTGAAAACAAAGTTGAGTAAACACATGAAAACCGGTCAGTGCAGTTTTCATAGAAAGAATGAAGTACACTGAAACTCAAGGCCGCCATTAGACGCTACAGTTTTATTTCACACATACAGTACTGTGCAGAGCTCTTGAGCAACTCCTCATTTCGTCATACTTTGCTTCCAAGAAGCCAGACTTTCTCTAAATGTTTAACCTGGCATCCACATACGTGGACATCACACTTTGGGTTGTCTAGACCAAAATACTAAATTTTGCTCTACAAGGGCCTGATATCCACATACGGGGACGTTATACTACGAATCTCCTGATATGTGGATCTCATTTTTCTCAGAAAAAAAATAAAAAATAAAAAAAATCACGTCATTCTTTGTTCAGGTCCCAATCAAGGTCTTAGGAGGTTAAAGTGCTCTTGGGCAATAGTTTCCAGAGGCTTTCGGAAGGTATTTCAAAGTTGTTGGTTTTGAGGGGGGGTTAAGTTGTACATTAACATACCACAGGAATGCTTTTTATAGAAAGAAACCTAACTCCAGAAAAAAGAAATTTGAAATTATATCTTAAAAAAAAAAAAAAAAAAAGGGTTTTTAGGGGTTTTTTTTTTTTTTTTCTTTTTTTTTGGGTTGTATGGAAGCCCCAAACGCAATTTCATTGTTCTTGACAATGACAATAAAATAAATACTAATACTAATACTTTAAACACTCTTACTGGCAGCCTGTTGTAAAAACACAGATAAAAAAAAAAGATGTGTTCCCATTTCTTTAGTTCAATCTATTACAAATTTGGTTACAATTTTACAGACATATAATAGTATATAATAGTCAATATTTGTGCTCAACAAAATATTGACTTTCAAGCTCATTAGATTTGTACAAACTGGTTTCGTCTTATATACTGTATTTCCATATACACTTCTGGACATGTTTCAATAAATCACTGTTGTTTTTTCCAAGCAAACTATAAAGAGTTGAGGCTTTTGCACAGTACTGGACATCCTGACCTACCTCTTCTGGAGCAAATGTAGTTCCATTTGGAGTCACTGTGATTCACTCGTTCCCGTGCATGACTTGGATGTGAGTCAGCTTCTCGGGGGTAATATGGGGGTGATGAGGAGGACCTGAAAAAGATAACAATGAAGGAAATCATCAACCAACTAATCTGAAACACTGACAGAAAGGCCAATGAGACAGGAACGTGTGTTTTTAGCCTTTTTCCGCCTGAGTCCATTTTTCAGACATTTTAAATGTCATAACAAAATTATAAACATGGTTAACTGCAGAAATAGAATATTTTCCCTACTGACAAAATGAATTTAAAACAAGGTGCTTTTAATGCTGTTTTGGAGCTTTCAACAGACCTTTCTACAGCATGTAGTTTCCTCATTTAATTTAATTTCAATTCAGTTTTATTTATACACCCCCAATTAACAACAACAGTTGCTCCAAAGTGCTTTATATTGTTAGGTAGACCCTACAATAATACATGCAGAGAAAAACGCAACAACCATATGACCCCCTATGAGAAAGCACTTTGGCGACAGTGGGAAGGAAAACTCCCTTTTAATAGGAAGAAACTTTGAGCAGAACTAGACTCAGGGATGTCAACCAGGTACCAAATTTCCTTCCGAGCTGCTTTTGAGAACAAGACTAATTGTTAATAATTATTGTTATTTTTTTAATAGTCTCCAAGTATAACAATAATATAAATCTTTTCTATACTAAAATAGAGTGAATCACAATTTGACAACTACTGTGAAAAGGCAGTAATTAGAAAGATAAGTGAGAAACAATGTTAAAACACATCACAGCAGCCCTGCCCTGCAGCCTGGATCCTCACCAGTTTGCCTACAGAGCAAACCGGTCCACAGAAGACACTGTAGCCACAGCACTCCATGCTGCCGTAACACAACTGGAAGAGCATGGGAGCTATGTGCGAATGCTTTTCGTGGATTACTGCTCAGCTTTTAACATCATCCTTCCACACAAACTGGTGGCCAAGCTATAAGACCTGGGGCTTCTTTACAACACCTGCATGTGGGTCAACAGCTTCCTCTCGGGCCGTAGACAGAGAGTCAGAGTTGGCCATCACACATCCTCAGCCCTAAATCTCAGCACTGGCTCACCCCAGGGCTGTGTGCTTAGTCCACTGCTCTACTCTCTCTACACACACACACACACACGACTGCACTCCTCTCCACCAGAGCAACATCTTTGTGAAATTTGCAGACGACACCACCGTGGTGGGGCTCATTTCCAGGGATGACGAGTCTGCATACAGAGACAAGGTGGAGCAGCTGTCATTATCGTGTAAGGCCAATAACCTCCTCCTCAACACTTCAAAAACCAAAGAACTCATAATAGACTTCAGAAGGAAAAAGGCAGAGACCCAACCACTATTCATTAATAGGGACTGTGTAGAAAGGGTGGCAAACTTCCGCTTCCTGGGAGTCAACATAGAGGAGAACCTTTCCTGGAGTGCGAACACCTCCGAGCTGCTGAGAAAGGCCCAACAGAGACTGTACTTCCAGAGAATTCTCAGGAGGAATAACATCATACAGAGATTGCTGGTGTCCTTCTACAGAGCCACCATTGAGAGTGTTCTAACCTATTGCATATGCATCTGTTACACTAGCTGCACAGTGGCTCAGAGGAAAGCACTCCCAAGGGATCATTAACACCGCCCAAAAGATCACTGGCTGCCCTCTCCCCACACTGGAAGATCTACACCCGCTGTCTTAAAAAAGCCCAAAACATCATAAAAGATACCTCACATCCTGGCCACTCCCTGTTTGAACTGTTGCCCTCAGGCAGACGGTACAGAGCAATCAGTGTAAGGACTAATAGGCTCAAACAGCTTTTATCCAACTGCAATAACACGTCTGAATACTGCTACAAAAAAATGCCAATCACGCCACTCTTGTATTAATCTATGCGCTGACTGAAGCATGTATGTGGGAATGTATGTGAATGTTTGTTGATACCTCTTATTAGCACTTTAAGTATTCTATTTATTTTATTATTGAATTTTGTTTTATTTATATGTTGATATCGTTAGGGATGATGCAATGATCGGGGACCATTTTTAATTTCGTTGTACCTGTGACAATGACAATAAAGATTCTGAAAACAAGTCCTGATACACTGCCAAATCTGAACTCTGGATTCAGTACTGGAATTCAGATTTTTATGGCACCAGTGGACAAAGTACTCAGGAAAAAAAAAAGGAACAAAGCAATATAACAATAATGAATTACAAGTCAGTGTTCCTCTGAAAACCTTACATCTCTGAGGCTTGAACCATGAGTAAATTGGGGATTGCTTTACTAATACAATAATATACTGTAATGAAACCAGCAAGTGAGAATTGAGAGCAGCATTTGGTTGTACTCTGATGTAACCAGAAGCAAAAGATTCATCAATTATAACAAGACTGCAAACTCTAACTCACAGCAGAGCCCATAGGGATTAATAAAGTCTGGTCCATGACCAAAAGAAAAATTCTTTCAAGTTCTTGGACTGGGCTCAACAAAGTTTGGAAAAGTGGGTTAAAGTCATTTTAAACAAAACGTTTCCAAACTTCAGAATGAACACGTCTAAGCTTGTCCAGTTTCCTATTAAGGTCAGTTTGAATGTTTCTGAGCTGGTTATAAAAAACAAAACAAAAAAGTTTTTATGATTTTTTGTTGTTGTTAAATATTTGTGCAGACGTACAACAAAATATCAATCCTCTGTTGCTTCTGGGGCTCCCCTTGCCACATTCATAGTGGTAGAAGTAGAAAAGACTGAGGGCAGCTGCAACTTTTTCTACAGTGTCCTTCATTACTCACAGGCTACATGTTATCTTTTGATGAAAAGACATGTAAATAATTGTGCTAACAGTACAGCTTACATTTTTTCACTAATAAGGACAAGACTACAACATTCATTTTGACGCAAGAAGTCTGAGGGTCACAATTGTAACGCTTAACCCCCCCCCCCCCCCCAAAAGAAAAACAAACAAACAAACATTAAACAAGTGAATAATCAAATTATTACAATAACATCTCATAATTTAATTTAAATGGACATCTTTACATGTCTATTCAAAAGCAAAAGAGTCAAAGGGATATTTTCTGTCTGTACAAATACAAGAATTATTATGAAAATGTCTTTTTTTTTTGTTTAAGAATTTCCCAAGTGCTGTTAAAAAGAGCAAGGAATTTTGAAAGAGTTTTTCCAAACATCCTGGTTTTATTTGGAACACTTGCAATATTTTAAATAGAAATACAGAAAGATTTATTTCACAAAAATACAAAACGTACCAGGATCAAAATTATTAGCTCCCCTTGGTACTATCAGTCATATCCTTTTTGCTAGATAACAGCATGCAGTTGTTTGTAGTAGTCTAAGGAGCTTGGAAAGAAAAGCATCTGGACTTCTTTAAGTTGCTTGAAGACGTTTCACCTCTCATCCGAGAAGCTTCTTCAGTTCAAGTTTCACACGTCTGCTGAGCCATCCCAGCTCATTCTTTATTGGTGAATCTCTCAAGCTCTTCCAGATTTGTTGGTCTTCAGTTCACCACACAGATTTTCAATTAGATTCAACTCAGGGCTTTATGCAGGCCAGTCAGTAACATTCACTTGAGTCTTCCGGAGGTAGATCTTCACAGTAGTGAATTATATTTTGGGTTGATGTTGTGTTAGAGAACAAAGCCACGACCCAGATCCAGTTTTGTTGATGTTTGAGGATTTCTTTGGAAATTTTCATTATATCCTTCTTTCCTCATGATTCCTTCCACCTTGACTAGACTCCCAGTTCCAGATGCACCGAAGCATCCCCACAGCTTAACACTTGCACCACTGTGATTCTTTGGGTTTTATGCCATCTTTATCTTTCTTTCATCAGGTTTCCCCAGCATACTTCAGTCTGGCTTAAAGGTGTATCTTCTGCAGAAGTTTAGTTTTTCTTGATCTGCAACCTGCCAGTCCATTCCGCTGCAGGGTTCTACTGATCGTCTTCTTTGAGCTTAAAATTCCCAGCTTGGTCTTTACTAGTCTTTTACTAGTGTTGGCAGTTGTTCCGAGCCCTTCACACAGATCTCTCACTATTTTTTCTTCCAGAGTCTTTGAAGTCGCTCACTTCATACCTCTGCCAGGCTTGTTCTGTACTGTGTGGCTCTCTCTGAATTTCATATTTTTCACTGCATTCTTGACACTTGGAAACACTGTGATAACTTTGTAAATCCATCTGCTCCTTACTGAACATTCACTTTTTTCCCCTCAAGTTTAAACTGATTTCTTTTGTTTTTTGCACTATGCTTACACTCTGGCTGAAGTTTAAAGTGGACAGTAAGTCTCAGTTTTAATGATTTTATATGTTTTGAGAATTATACAGTTAAAGCACATCATTGCACAGCAGAGGTTTGTGCTGCAGTTCAAAGGTCAGTGTTTCAGGGGGCAAACAATATTGACCCTGGTTATTGTTGTTTTGTTTCTTGAGATAATTATGTGACCGTGTGTCACAAATAGGTATAATCTATGCTTTCTCAAGAAATCTAGTAGCCTATGTTTAAAAATGCTGTGTTGAAAATTCACTCCATTAAAAAAACAAAACAAAAAAACACTGATAGAGGGGGGTTAATAATGTTATCCTCATCTGTATGTTATATTGCTTGATAAATATGGAGCGAGAGTGACATTTATTTTGTATGTCAGTATGTAGGCTGATACTGTTTTAACACATGTAAAACGTGATGTTTGATACAAACAAGTATTTTAATTTTTAAATGTCAATACAGACAAACAAGATGTCCCTGATATGCCGTCCATGTTTACAATCTTTTACCCAGCAACACCTATGTCAACATGGTTGTTCTCTAAAGTACTACTGATGTAGATTTAAATCCAGATTTAGGGAGGAAAAAAACACTGTGCATTCAAAAAGCATCTCCCTTATCTGAAAACTTGTTTTGTCCTTGGGAATTTCTGCAGAAATGAAGTACCTGCGCTTCTTCCACGGTCAGAGAGAATCCTAATGAGGGTGTGCGGAATAAGTGTATTTAGTTTCTGATCTGAGGAATTACATGGTGAGACAACTGCCCCAGTCGCCCTCACTTCACAGTCTGGGTTTAAAACAACGGTGAACGCAGTGCGCACCTGTTGGATGGTGTTGACCGGTCGCCATTGTGCTGCCGGTGGTCTCCGTTCCTCTCCCGGTGCCCCCGGTTTGATCGCGGCTGCTGGCTCATTCCTGCTGACGGAAAGTGACACACTTAAACACAAAAACGACGTTTGAAAAGCACGAAAACTGTCCCGCATACTCCAGGATGAAACGTATGACTCTAGAGGTTTTTATTTATCTTCTTTAACAGGAAAAAGAAAAGAACAAAAAGAAAAGGCTTTAATGTTTTAGCTCCTGTTGGCATGGAAATATAGCCTACAACTGACGTAGAGCCCCCCCCCCAAAGTGAAAATTATGAAAACTACTAACAAATGAAAACTAGGCTGAGAAAGCGTGTAATTTTACATGAAAGCTTATATTTCCCGTCAAGCACCCGAAGAGCAGGTACTACTTCCAAACCAAAGCCAAGCTTGTGCGATACGTCAGCAAAGTAGCCAAAATGTCTGATTCAATTAGCGTTATCAAAGACAAACTTACTGTAATGTCGACAAAAAACACTTCAGACTGAAACAGCATTACTGAATCCAAATATAGTTATTCTGTCTGCTGTCAGAATCCAGGTAGAAACAACTCCACCCTACAAGGCGGAGGCGGAAGAGGAACTAACAGGTGAACAGAAGAGTTTCTGGTATGAGGTCAAAGCTACTACGAGCTTCGTGCGCCGTCAGTCCCGTCTCTCACGCCACAGAAGCCTCTGTTTACTCACTGTTTGAGGGGGTGTTGTTGGCCTTTCATTACCAGCACGCTGCAGCGGTGACGTCGAGCGGCACACCATTGGCCAAAAGCTGTCGTGTCCATCTACGTGTACGTACGTAGATCTGCCAGAAGGGGGCACTAAACGATCTGTTTTTACACTGCACAAGATATCAGACTATACATTATAATGCACAAAAAAGGAATAAAGGCACTTTTGCAACAGTTATTTACACAGTTTGAATTAAGCGTAGACTATGTGGGCAATTTAACTTTGCTTACCATTTAAAAATATCACTGTGTTCTCACACACCATTGTTTTCATCATCTTTTAGTAATAAAACATTTAAAAATAAATAGAAAATCAGAAAGTGTCATATTGTGGCCCTAAAATGTGGTGTGTGCGTTCTGATTTCTTGATTTTTCTCCTAATATCTTCATTTTACACCTAAAATAATAATTCAAACTTTAGCATTTATTGTTTCAGGCTTTGACACGGGTATAACCTTAGTACGAGGTTTCAAGAATGATCATCAAGCGCCAATGAAGCTCTAACTCAGTTGCATTTCCAGCTGAGCAAGTGTGAAAGAATTCAAAGAATTTAGTTAGTGGCCAGAGGACTGTTTTTAACACAGTGTTGTCTCTGAATTTGCCTCACCTGCTGTAATTGAATTGAAAGCATTGACAACCTCTTTTCATATCTTAATAATAGGATGCTTTTTATCACACATGATTGAGTATCACATACACGCACACACTCAGACACACATCTTCTTTATGCACCATTTTCTATTTGTGGTTTGTTTAGTTTTTGTCTAATTGTTTGGTTTTATCATGTTTTCTGTCCTGCATTTTCATTTTCAGCATGAAAGGGTTCAGTGGCCAGCTACATGCTGACAGCACCAGGTCATTTTTCATAGGCCTGAAGGTCATCCAGGTTCCCATATGAACAAAGCCTCAATTAGTCATGGTAAGATGGTTGTTTTGAATCACAGTTTCAAAACATCTGCACTTCATATGATTGAACAGTGTCCACATGTCCGTATCGAGAATACCAATTTTGCAGCAGTGCGTGAGTTGATGCTGGTGGAGCAGTTTCAGAGTTTTTCCTAATATATAAGTAGCTTTATCAAGCATGACATCAGATTCCCCTGAAAAGGCAGTTAATAAATCTGCTTCCACGTGCAAAAGAACCAGATGAAAGTTTTAACTCTTTATCTCCACAGGGAGTGTCAATAACAGGGAAGACTGGATCAACACACAATTACTATGCTGCATGATTGTAGTGATTCACAGTTTCTCATTTTTTCCAGTGTCTTGCCTCTGAGTTGGTGTCATGTTTGCTTGTGAAACAGGTGGAGTAGTGACAGGTCATGGAAAGAACAGAGTCAGACCCAGCTGCTGGCACATTTAGTAGCTGTTTATAATGCATTTCCAGTGAAATACATTCATTTCATCATGGGTGTGACAGCCCTCTGCCTTGGCCAGGCCTTCTGTGTTTTCCTCTGTTCCTTTGTGTTGTCTTGCAGGTTCCTGGTAGGCGGGGTTAATCAGTGTAACTGGGAACAACTGGCCAGTCTCCCTGGAGCACTTGTGAGCTGGGTGCTCTTGACTTTTTTCTTCATTGAAGCCAGTAACAGGGTATTTGTTTGGTTGGCTTTGCCTTGATTGTTTAAGGTTTTATATTTTACAACACTAATAATACTTATAATCAGTGTTGGTCAAGTTACTTGAAAAAAGT